CGCCGAAAGGGGCTTGGGGAGGGGGGGGGGGGGGGGTTACACAGGCGGGAGGGGCGTGGTCGCTCCTGCTCGGCCCTTCCGCCCCGCCCCTTTGGGTGACCCTCTTCCTCCTCCCCAGGGGTGGGGGGAAACATCTGGAGGATACCCAGGCCTCCTTCCCTGCTTGGTGTGGGGGGGTGTCTTTTGGAATTCCATAGAACAGTGGAAGTGGAAAAGTCGAGGGCAGTGCCTCTGAGCCAGTGCAAAGTGCCTTCACCATATCCGAGGATACAAAATTTAAGGGTTGCCAGCCTCCAGGTGGGGCCTGGGGATACATCGGAATTACAACGGATCTCCAAACAACAGAGATCCGTTTCCCCCGGAGAAAATGGCTGCTTTGGAGGGCGGAGACGGTGGCTTCGCTCCCCTCCCCGAAGCCCCGCCCTCCCCAGGCTCCACCCCCAAGTCTCCAGGAATTTCCCAACCCAAAGTTGGCGACACTAAAATGGAGAGGTGGATGTGAGCATGGGCAGAGAAGCTTTGACTTGGTAAAGAGAAAATATCTAGCCAGCCCCTGGGGCACCTGAGATGGGGAAAGAACTGCAAGTTACAGGGCGGGAGTTTCCAGGCTAGTTCACCCCCCCCCATTCCCCCAGGCCAACTCTGTGTTCAGAAATTAATTACTACCAGGTGGCCAACATCTGGAGGGGAAGTGAGAGTTTGTCTTTCATTCCCCTCCCCTTTGCCCCCAACACAGCTACTAGCAGGTCTCGCCCTGAGATAGAGTTCTGTCCTAGATAAGGTGAGCACAGGTGGACACACCACGAAGCTGCCTTGTGCTGAGCCGGACCCCTGGGTCCATCGAGGTCAGTGTTGCCTGCTCTGACTTGCAGCGGCCCCCAGGGTCTCAGGCCGAGGTCTCGCACATCACCTGCCACCTGGCCCTTTCAACGGAATAAATCTAATAAATGAATAAATACAGTTGAGATGCCAAGCAGATGCCCTGCCGCTGAGCCACGGCCCCACACCCAAATACCTGTAGACCAGTGTTCCCTCTAAGCTGAGTTAGTGTGAGCTAGCTCATGGTTTCTTAGCCTCCGGCTCACACATTTTTGTCTTGGCTCAGGAAGGATGGCTCCAGACCAAACTAATTTATGCAGCAGCCAAGTCGCTCACTCACAACTTTTAATGCCAGCAGCTCACAAAATAGAATTTTTGCTAGATTCCAAAGCTTAGAGGGAACACTGCTGTAGACCACCCCATAGTATTGGTCCATCAAGGTTAATATAGTCTACTCAGACTGGCAGCATCTCTCCAGGGTGGAGGTCTTTCCCATCACCTACTGCCTGGTTCTTTCTAACAGGGGATGCCAGGGATTGAACCGGGGACCTTCTGCATGCTGAGCAGAGGCTCTTCCACAGAGCTACAGCCCCTACTCAGTCTGACTATGGCTCTCCAGGGTCTCAGGTGGAGGTCTTTCCCATCACCTACCAGCGTTCCCTCCAAGCTGAGTTAGTGTGAGCTAGCTCACCGTTTTATAGCCTCCGGCTCACACATTTTTGTCTTAGCTCAGGAAGGATGGCTCCAGAGCAAACTAATTGATGCAGTAGCCAGATTGCTTGCTCACAACTTTAATGCCAGTAGCTCACAAAGTAGAATTTTTGCTCAGAAGACTCCACAGCTTAGAGGGAGCATTGCCTACCACCGGGTCCTTTTTAACTGAAGATGCCAGGGATTGAACCTGCGACCTTCTGCATGCCGAGCAGATGCTCTGCCACTGAGCCACAGCCCCTACTCAGTCTAACTGTGGCTCTTCAGGGTCTTCCACTGAGCCACCAGCCCCTCCCTGGAAGAAGTCATATGAGGGAATAATGGAAGACCAGAGGGCCTCTTCTGAAGCCGTACAGGCTGGCGGTTCTTCCCTCATGCCAGCTTCCTGTGCTCCACCCCCCAGAGAGCAGTTTCCAGGTAAGAGGGTGGGGCTCTTGGGCACCTTCTCCGGAAAGGAAAGGCTGAGTGCCAGCAGCCTGCAATTGAAGTCCCACCCTTATCTCAGCAGGGAAGAATTTAGGGGCCAAACACCAGGAGACCCTTTCTAGCCTTTTTTCAGGGGGGCGGACTCCCCCCACCCCGGGAACCCTAGAAGCGCTGAGCCAGGCAGCTGGGCGACAACGAGACGCAGGCACCCCCGCCGGAGAGACTCCGCACCAGCCCAGGCCCTGCCCTGACACGCCGCCTTCCGCCGAGGAGGCAGCTCGGGCGCGTCAGGAATGTTGTCCAAAGCCCGGGGCCAAGGTGTGAACTCTGGCCAGGGTCCAGGCAGGAACTGTGGCCTATTGTCCGAGCCCTTTCCCCTTGGCGATGGGGCCATCGCCTTTGAGATGCGGAGCGGACCCAGAGCCGCTTCCCGTCAGCACAAAGAGGAAACTCAGCCTGCCCTGAATGAAAACTGGAGGGGGGGCAACGCAGAGGCTGCAGGTTTCTGGTTATGCAGCCAGTTTTGATGTGGTGGGCGTCACCGGTATGATTCTCGGCTTCTTTGTGCCCAGTCTTCGACCAGACAAAAGCACTTACAATTTAAAAATTTAGCAGAGCGAACAGAAGAAGGAGGGTGTAGGGGGGAAAGTACATGTGTTCCTTGCATTCCCAAATGACTTAGGGGTTGGTGTGACCTTGGGTGAGTCAGCTGCTGGTGTAACTTCGGGTCAGTCACAAGTTCTCTCAGAGCTGTTCTCTCAAGGGCAGTACTTGCGAGAGCTCTCTCAGCCCCACCTACCTCACAGGCAATGCTCCCCCTAAGCTGTCGAATCTTGTGAGCAAAAATTCTACTTTGTGAGCTACTAGCATTAAAGTTGTAACCGAGCGATTTGGCTACTGCATCAATTAGCTTGCTCTGGAGCCATCCTTCCTGAGCGAAGACAAAAGTGTGTGAGCCAGAGGCTAAAAAACCGTGAGCTAGCTCACTCTAACTCAGCTTAGAGGGAACACTGCTCACAGGGTGTCTGTTGTGGGGAGGGGAAGGGAAAAGAGATTGTAAGCCGCTCTGAGACTCCTTCAGGTAGTGAATCCCGTCTCTTCTTCTTCTCTCACACAGTGGCCTCAACCAGTTCCTCTGGAGGGCCAACAACAGAGCAGAGAGGCTGAGGCCTTTCCCTCATAAGAACACAAGAAGAGCCCTGCTGGATCAGACCAGTGAGGGTCCATCTAGTCCAGCATCCTGCCTCACACAGTGGCCAATGAGTTCCTCTGGAGGACTAAAATCTGCTGTATGGTGTCCTTGCAATGGGTCCCTTCGAGCATGTGCAGAGTACCACTGCTACTGAGTCATCTCTGTCAATGTGCAGAAAGAGTTTCCAGATCAAAAGGGTGACTTCTAGCTCCTTATAGCCTCACTGCTATTGGCCGTGAGAGAGAAATGGAGCTTCCATGTACAGGGGCAGTATACCTCTGAGTACCAGATGCAGACGGCAAGCAATGGCTGGGAGTGATTCTTCAGAAATGGCTGTGTGTGCTGTTAGACATGGCACTAAAGGGCCTGACTCTGTTCCAAGTGATTCTTATGCCCCAACCTCATTTTAGAAATTAGCTGCTTCCTTTCAAATCACAGAACCGCAGCTTCGGCTCCTGACCCCCATCCTTGTGCTTAATTTCTAAAAAGAGAAGTGATGTGTTTCAGGGTATGGTTGGAAAACACCCGAGTCAGTAGCCTGGCTGAAGCAAAGCGATGAGCAGTGCCTGGTTGGGAGACCAGGAATCC